GAGTGGGGGAGTTTTTTTGGTTGCAAGTCCAAAAGGACGCGACGTGTCTTGAACCCAGGGCTTGGTTTTCAAGGGGCACGGACAGAACGGCAGGGAGATGCACATCACACCAGTCTAACAATGGTTGAGTTTCCTAAGGGAGATCTGTTTCTTAGGGGTCGCCCTGGTGTTACGGTTTCATCCCAGCGGGTTTAGCCTAGGAGATGGGTTTCGGGCTACTTGCATGGTGGTAAAAGTAGGCTTCCGCCCCTAGTTTCGGTGGCATTTGGCTTGTCAAGGAGGAGGTCAAAGGCAAATGATCAGTTTCCCACTTGGCGGTTTGGATTGGTGGTTTAGTGGTTAGAGGGTGGCTTCTACAAGAACCAGGCGTTCGAATCCAAATCCAAACCAGAGCTTCATGAATTCCAGCTGTGGAGATAAGAGCCTTCCAACAAGAAAGTCAAAAGATCTCTCTTGCAGTTTCATTATTGATGTTGACCCCATAATCAACCCAGTTCATAAAAAAAGGGGGTATCCCTGGGTTTAGTGGGGATTCAGACTACTTTTGGAGGGGCCTGGAACGCCCTATGAGTAAACTGGGGTTCACGAATCTGGGGTCAACACAGCAAAAGCAGCTGAGCCTCAGTGCAATCGCCTTCAGATCGGATCGCCTCGATGGCTCTGAGGGTTTTTGAATTACACCCTGGGAATTACACCACCCAGAATGGTTCATGAAACAACATCAGGATTTTATCCGGAAATGTGTCTAAATGGGGTCAATACCCGGGTGTATTCCCAGGGTGTAATACAAGAACCCTTAGAGTTTGGTGTTTCGGCCAGGAGCGCCAAAGGTCTGGTGAGTTCACTTGTTCTAGGACTTGTTCTAGGACAACACACCAAAAGCTCGGATCGCTCGGATCGCTTCAACGGCTTTGCCAGGACGTGCAGTGGACCTCGGATGGCCAGGACGCGGTGCGGCAGCTGCGTGCGGCGGCGTACCTGAGCCTCGGCGCAAGCGCAAGCGCGAGGGATACGTGGCGCGGGCTTGCCGTGGCCTGGTCCCTCAAAAGAAGTGGGAAACCGTGGAATGAAGGGTGGGGTGGGGTGGGGTGTCGGGTGGGGTGTCGGTGGAGTGGGATGGGATGGGGGTGTTCGACCAAGTCACAGAGGTGTCGGAATGTCCCACTTTTTTGGACCTCCGAAAGTGGCACTCGATTGTAGCTTTTGAAGGGAACATGGGGTGATGCCAGCAGATTTTGTGGTTAGTACCACCTACTTGCCGGGCGAACATCAGAAGTAGGGTTTTTGGAACCTTGTTACCAATATCTAGCCAGCTTGGGCCGACCATTCAAGTAGGGTTCGGATCAACATACGGAGAGCCCCAGGCTCCCCCCCAAAAAAGATAAGAACGAAGACGATGACAACAAAAAACCATGGCGGGTGTTGCTTTTGGCTTTTTCGCCAAGGTGAACAGGGCACCGTGGGGTTCAGGCCATCGGGGCTGGCCATTGATCCCTTTCTCGGAAGCAGACGAGAAGGAGTGAAGAGAACCATGGCGGAGGGGAGTTTTGACCTTCGCCAAGGGTCACCAAGGGACAAGTCTGCTGAAGACAATCCAAACTGCTCCAGTGCAGCCACTTGAGCAGGTTTTTGCATGCACCGCCGCCTCTTTGACACCCGCCCAGCTATTTGACACCTGTTGGCATTTTCCGCGAGTTGTGAACTCCGATGACTGGCGGGGACCTGCTTTCAGTTCTTCATCCGGAATTCTCATTAGTCGACAAAACCAAGGGGACCATCATTTCCTCTTGTCCGTTGGGGTGATCCCATAGTTTGCAAGTGGCTCAAGTAGAACCTGGCGGGATTTTATTGGGACCCAACAGTGACGGCAAAGAACGCCCGCTCGCTCCAGGAACCTGTCCCTGTGCTTCCTGAAGCTCAAGCAGCTGCTTGGCCGAAGCTTTTTCGTCGGAGCCATGTCCGGGGAGCAGTGAGACGTGCCGGACACGGGTGAACGGAAGATTTGCAGGGGCTAGACTGGGGTATTCCCAATTTGTCAGTTGCAACCAACCAGTTTGGTGAGGGGCTGTTGAAACAGAAAGCTTGGAACTTTTTGGAAGGTTCATTTATCTGCAATTTTAATATATGGCCAAAACCTGAAACCTGAATTAAGGGATCCCAAGTAAAGGACCTTTATCATGGTGAGCTCGCTATATCGCCAGGTGAGCTTGCTATAAAATTAGCAGATTTGTAGTCAAGGGGCCAAACAGTGTGCGCCTTATCTGACCAGGGAACTCAAACAGATTGGGTATCGCCGAGCACCAGGTGGCAGCATGCAGTGAATACCGCGACCCGTGCGCTGCAGGGAGACAAGGAAACGGCTTGGTGGGGGTAGTTCGTGCGTTCCTCAGCTGAAACAACTGAGAGGTTGGACCCGCAGTTCGTCGCAACAGATGCACAGTGCGGAACCGAAACCTGTGGTTGGACATGAGTCCCTGCCTAAGTGATGATCATCAAAGGACCAAGTGAGCACTAGTACTCTTTTTACAATTTCCATGGAATCTAAGAATGAATGCATGCCGGGGCCCTGCGGGTTGGCAGCCGGAGCCAGTTGAAAGTGTACCACCTTCAGGGCATCAGCCAAACCTGGAATCTCGTTTTGACGTCACTTTACCTTCAAAGGCTCACCATAGACCAGAATCAAACATATCATATTCGATTGGGGGCAAAAGCTGAGGTAGACATGCGAGTTGAAGGTTGGGGCATGACAAGAGCGAGATTCGGCATGACAAGAAACTTTCTCTTGCATTTTGATTTTTCGTCATCCCCCTTGCTTACCAACATAAGGCAAAAAATGTTCCGATGGTGCCACGTACTTTCATACTGGTGTAACCTTCAATGCCAAAACCAAGCTCCTGCCTGAAGACTCTCCGGTTCAAAGCACCGCTTGTGGTCAGCTAGCAAAACAGAACCCGGTCTTTGATGTGCTGTCCTAAACTCGGGGACTCAAGTTATGTCAAAAAGCAGAACGAAACAGCCGGTCGGATTAGTAGGTACCTGCACCACCATCTCACCCAGGCGGGCACCAACTGCCAAACTCCGGCCAGGGCCGTTTCTTTTTCTTCCTCCGCCAAAACAGGCCACACAAAACCAAGAAAAAGCAAAACAACAAAAACAACAACAATAATAGTGATAATAACAATAATAATAATAATAATAATAATAATAATAATAATAATAATAATAATAATAATAATAATAATAATAATAATAATAATAATATTATTAATAATAATAATGATAATATTAATAACAATGACAATAATAATAATAGTAATAGCAATATTAATAATAATAATAATAAAAATAATAATAATAATAATAATAATAATAATAATAATAATAATAATAATAATAATAATAATAATAATAATAATAATAATAATAATCATAATAATATTAATAATAATAATAATAGTAGTAACACTAATATAAATATTATAATATTATTATTATTAATATTAATAATAATAATAATAATAATAATAATAATAATAATAATAATAATAATAATAATAATAATAATAATAATAATACTAATAATAATAATAATAATAATAATAATAATAATAATAATACAATAATAATAATGATAATAATAATAATAATAGTAATAAAATAATAATAACAATAATAATAATGATAATAATGATGAAGATGATGATGATAATAATAATAATAGTAATAACAATAATAACAATAATAATAATAATGATGAAGATGATGATGATAATAATAATAGTAATAATCATAATAATAATAATGTTAGTAATAGTAATAGTAATAGTAATAGTAATAATAATAATGATAATGATAATGATAATATCAATAACAATAATAGTAATAATAACAACAATAATAATAGTAGTAGTAATAGTAATAGTAATAATAATGATAATGATAATGCTAATATCAATAATAATAACAATAATAATAATACTAGCAATAGTAATATTAGTAGTAATAGTAATCACAATAATAATGATAATGATAATGATAATGAACATATCAATAATAATAATAATAACAACAATAAACATAATAATACGAATAGTAATAGTAATAGTAATAGTAATAGTAATAATAATAGTAGTAATAATAATAGTACTGATAATGATAATGATAATGACAATGATAATATCAATAATAACAATAACAATAACAATAATAATAATATTAGTAATATTACCAACAAAACAAGCATGCTGAAGGGTCGTTTCTTTTTTTTGGTTGGCGCGGCAGGACCCTCCGGATCCCAAGGAGAACGTGCTGGCTCCGGAGAAGAAGGCCAAGGCGGGGGTTGGTTTTCGGATGTCTTTCTATTCCTTGCTATAGCTTGGCGCAGCCATCAGCCATCCGGTTCCTTAGTTTTTATATCTATATATATATATTGGTTGGCTTAGTAGGGGTTTCCAATTCAACTTTTAGCAGGGAATTGATTTGCAGCTCAGATGGGTCCTCTGATGTTCGCTGGTCGGGAGTCCGGTCCAAACTGGCAAGAGCTGAAGAAGGATGATTCCCCCTGGCAGGTTGGGACATGATGTACTCCACCTCAGGTGAAACTCCGAGTGGGGAGGGAAATTCATCGAATGTCGGATCGAATTTTGGCAAACCATTTTCCCCAAACGTTCTTTCACGGGTCTTTGGGTGCCAAACGGAGGAAGTCCAACCAATTTGAGACTGGTTGCGTAAGCCTTTCTTTTCTATGATACCACAGAAAATAATTCCCATTCCTCAAAATAACAGAGAGAGAGAGAGAGAGAGAGAAACTTTTTCTTTCCACTTTCCCTTTCTACTTGGAGCCGCTGTTTGGTGAGAATTCCATCCCCTTCCCACCAAACGGCACCAAAAGGACGCGGACGCGTCGGCTGTGCTGAGGCCTTGTTCCGGAGGGCCTTGGCGCAGAAGGAGGGCTGCGGGAAGCTGGAGGAGGCGCCTTCGGCTTTTCACCCGACCAAGGCCACAGGTCGGCGGAATCCAGGCTTTTCCTTTTGGTTTGGGACGAGATTCAGTGGTTCAGTGGTTCAGTGGTTCAGTGGTTCAGTGGTTCAGTGGTTGGGTGGTTGGGTGGTTCAGTGGTTCAGTGGTTCAGTGGTTCAGTGGCTCAGAGGTTGGGTGGTTGGGTGGTTGGGTGGTTGGGTGGTTGGGTGGTTGGGTGGTTGGGTGGTTGGGTGGTTGGTTGGGTGGTTGGGTGGTTGGGTGGTTGGGTGGTTCGGTGGTTCGGTGGTTCGGTGGTTCGGTGGTTCGGTGGTTCGGTGGTTCGGTGGTTCGGTGGTTCGGTGGTTCGGTGGTTCGGTGGTTCGGTGGTTCGGTGGTTCAGTGGTTCAGTGGTTCAGTGGTTCAGTGGTTGGGTGGTTGGGTGGTTGGGTGGTTGGGTGGTTGGGTGGTTGGGTGGTTGGGTGGTTGGGTGGTTGGGTGGTTTTCCCCATGTGGCTGTGGCTCCAAAAAGTGTAGCACGTTGGAATAGGAAAACGAGAAGGCCAAGCCCGTGTAAAGCGAGCTGCTTAGTTTTGAGCCACACCCACATCGGCGGAATCAGGCTTCTCCTTTGGTTTGGGACGAGATTCAGTGGTTCAGTGGTTCGGCGGTTCGGTGGTTCGGTGGTTTTCTGAAGTGAGGTGGATTCAGTGGTTCGGCACCCACTAGAGATGGAGTCATCCCCAAAAAGAAAGCTCTTTTGCTGCCAGAGATCCTTGGAATACCTTTGCCAGGTTTCTCTTCAAACACCCCCCAAAAGAGCCCCCAATCAGTACTATTTGGTTTTTTTTTTTTGGGTAGACCCCAAAATGGTGATTTTCCTCTTGAAGCCAAAAAGGGTTCCCCTGAAAAGACATGCCTTTGGCCTTTCCTTTTTTGCTCGCCAAACTGGTCCCAAGACAGGTGGTAGAAGAACCACCTGGCCGGGAGGTTCGAGTCGGAATGCTACTGATTGAACTGTCCCATAAAATGTGTTTTTGTGTTTTGAGTAAGCTCTGGCTGATCACGAGTAAGGTCGTCAACTTGATTTTTATATTATATGTATTGTTGCTTGATGGCTTCTGTTTGCTTTTTGTGAGGGCTGCAGCGAACTCGTTCTTTGGGTTCAGAACACCAGGGCTCGGAAGGGAAGTGCGGGACAAACATGGCAATGACGAGTTCATCACAGGATAGTTGTTGGTGACCGCTCAGGTTCTGGAACCATGCTCACGAGAGGTGGGTGGAAATGCACGCATGAGTAATTGACATGTGATTGGCAGTCTCGGTTTGGAAAGGACATGGAAAGCCAAATTCCTATTTCCACAACCAGGGGGATGTGCCCGAGGCTACATGAAAACAGGTTGACAATTGCTTGGTTAGCTCTCCTGAAACATGAACCCAACCCCACCACGCATCCGGAGGCCCAGAAGGACTTGCAAAAGGCCCTGGAGTACGTGTCCGAGGACGTGTGGCAAGCACAATGAAATGCGCGTCCCCTCTTTCCAACGAAAACACGCGTGGAAGTGGACAATTGAAGAGTTCGGGGAGACTTCCATCACCTCAAAAAGGCCCCAACCGCGCGCTGCCATTTTTTTGGGGAAAAGGGAGGGAGCACCCCAAAAGGTGTTCGGCACCTTTTGGCTTGTCGGCGTTTTGACCGGCGCCGAGTTCCAAACCAGGGCAGATCGCTGGGAATTTGCCGGTTAGAGAGAGAGAGAGAGAGAGGGGGAGGGCTGAATGCTCGGTATCCAAATCTCCCACTCTTCCGAAATTCTGGAAACTCCATGTCCAACCCCCCCTGAGATGTGGAGTCTCTGTGGAACGCGCGGGCCAGACACTGGACACGAAGTATTTGAGCCTTGGTGTGATGTTTTTTTGGTTCCCGGCCATGTGGGTATGGGTCAAGCATAAACCACCAGGTTTAGTCCATGCTTCCATTTATCAGGATACCTGTTTTTGACCCATAGCCATGTATTTGGCCCCCCAATTTGGGTTGCTTAGTTTTATTATGTGGGTTGAACACGCTTGAAGTGTGATTTCCGCCGCCTTTCCAGGACAAGAATGTGCAGCAGGAGCTGCAAAGAGTGAGCCAGCTCCTAGCGAAAGAGAAGAAGCAGGCGGACAAGAAGCTCGCGGGCTTTCTGGCAGGTAGCAAAAAGGCGGGGATGCTCAGATCACGACATGTTCAGCCCCCACAAGACGTACCTGTACCTACTCGCGAGCCTTTCATGTGACTCTCCCCAGTTTCCTGGCGGTTTTTGAGCCAGCAGGGGTACTTGTTTCAACCAGGATGTTCATGGTATAGCCCAGCGGGTGTGTCAAGCCACAGCTCCAGAAAACCCCATCTATGGGTTCAACACCCCATTTCCGATTCAGCAGAAGGTGATCACTAGCGGAAGTAGCACTCCTGCCAAGAGGTCCGTGCTCGGAGGGAGACAGGGTGCAATGAGACAATATTGGCAAAAACATGCTGCTCAACAAGTTAAGTTATGACGAGCTCATTGGGTGAAACGAGCTCAGTTGTGATTAAGTTCCACTACTTGGAGACTCTTTGCTTTTGGTTGGCTAGCTCGCAATTTGCTCAGAACCCCTTTTCGGAAAGGCTTGAAAGGGAAGCCGACGATCGGCTTCCATGATCGGAGGGAGGACAGAACCTCGGTTCTGGCCATCCGCTTTGCGAAAACCTCCAGCTCAGAGAGCGCTTGGGTTGAAAAGCAAGGCCTCGACCAGTGTGTGTTTTTTGAGGGTACCTGTTTTTTTCCAAAGTATCCCTGAGATTGCGTTTTTTTTTTTCTTCTTCTTTTCGGGAAACCAAGTTTGGGGGGTCCCCTAACACCAGACACACCTAGCATGTCCACTTCCGTCCTGAAAAATATATATATATATATATATATATATATATATATATATATTTGCAGGGTCAACTTTAGAAGGCTGGAAGACCCCGGTTCAATGGCAGCCTTTGCTCACCTGTCGGCGGGCTCGCCATGAAGATGCTCGACCTAGGGCATTCATAGAACATGGTTGAAGCCAAGTCACCAGGTGTGTGGCAACCTGTGCTAAATAACCTGAAATAACCTCAAAGAACCTTACGCAAGGACAATAGGTCCGTTTTCAAGAAACCAAGGCCAGTCGTCCAAGAGACTTTTGGAAGCTACACTTCCACTCTGCCCGCCCAAAAATGGCTTGGTGCCCAGAGGGAAACAAGGGGTTGCAGGGCTCTATTCTCTGGGCAAAAACCCGCTTGCTGTTGAGTGGTGGGTTTCGTGGGTTTCATTCCCTGGGGACTTCGCCATTAAGCATCACGAGAACACTCCCAAAGTCGCAACCAAAAGGTGATGTTTTCCGACCTGCACAGCTGGCTTTCCCGTTTCAACTTTTTGTTGTTTAGGATGGGTTGCTTCCTTCATTTCGCTTTTGTGGACACTTGAGGTGGCCATTTTTCCGATGGAACCCAGACAAATGCAAACGAAATCCCGTGCTGCGTCTCTGTTTGGGGCCCGGAAGTTTTCCCTATCCAACCGGCGAAATCTGTCAGCTCAAGCGACCCGAGGTGAAGGCTGGCACCGGGATCTTCAGCGAGGCGGACCGCGCGCGGGACACTTCGGGGCCAGAGCTGCCACAAGACCCGGCCACCTGGCCACCCTTGTTTCTTTGTTTCTTTCTTCCTTCCTTTCTTCCTTCCTTCCTTCCTTCCTTCCTTCCTTCCTTCCTTTTTTCTTTCCCTCCTCTCTTTCATTTTTTGTTTCTTTTTTCTTTCCTTCCTTTCCTTCAGTTTTTCTTTGTTGGATTTTCTGCCTGCCTGGCTGGCTACCCGTGGGTTGCAACCACTCACCCGCAATGACAACGTCTTCGCCTGCAGTTTCCGCCAAGGTGAAGGTGAGCGACGGCCTGTGGCTGGTGCCTAAGGACGAGGTGCGGATGGGCGGATGGGCGGACCGAGCGGATGGAGGAAGTTCGTGTTCGTTGTTTTCACCTTTCTTTATGTGTGTTTTTTTGTGCTGTATTTTTGGGGTCTTCGTTCTTTTGTGCGTGTTCCTTTTTGTCCTTGCTTTTGTAAGGCAAACAAGCCGGATGGAAACGATCGGACGTTTTGTTTGGATGGACTGTTCGGATTCCGCAATTCAAGAACACATGCAAGCTTCAGAGCTGCCCGTAGAGTTGAGTCCCACAGTACATCTATTACCCCGCCAGTTGACGGTTTGGGATTTGAACCCCTGATTCTTGTGGAGGGTAAATGGGCTGATCACCAAGCCACCAATAACCACCAATTGGAAGGAAGCTGGGTACACTGTTTGACGACGTTTTCTTGTTCCACCTTACGAACCTGAGCACACACTTGCTTTGCGTCTGTGAAACTTCTGCCCATTGGTCCGCAGCCTTGTTAAGCCCTGTGCCGAACTCTCAGGTGTGCATCAACTTACCTTTTGACCTCAAGCGGCAGTTTCATCGGAAGGCTTGGGCAAATTGGTTGCATCCAAAATCCTACCCGAGTGGACCAGTTCGTGAGTCTAGTCGGTGGGCGTTTTTCCACACAGTCGCCTGGCCCAACTTTGAATGCTTTTTTGGATCTTTCACCTCCAGAAGTGGCAGTGTTTCATGGGATGCTGCAATGAAGCTTCCAGCGGCGCCTTTTTTGGTGGCAACTTCCAGTGATCGTCGAAGCTTCGAGAGCTTGAATGATCCAGACGACTCATTCGCTAGGACAAAGAGGCCAAGGACGCGCAGGAGCGACAGTGCTCGACGGTTCGTGTAGTGGAGAACCCTGTGATTGCTCTTGTTTGGTATTTGGTTAGATCTTCAACCTTTAACTTTTTGGGAACGCGTGTGTTTGCCCACTAGCCAACAAAACGTACCACAAAGTACTGTGGATGGAACAAACACACTTCGCACCAGTGGAAGATGGCTTATCCCAGTATTCGTAGCGCTTCAACAATCCCCTTTTGTATCATTGTCATGCACAGTAGGAACCTCTCAAAGTTCCCAAGGGCTTCCCGGGCAACAGACAGCAGGCTAAAGTTTGAGGGGGAATGATCGACGTTTTTCCTTTTAAAAGGCGTTCATGAACTCATGACTCATAATACATTGGCATGTAGTTTCCGAGCCATTTCTCTTTCCAAAAGTGGCGATCGTTTCAATGGAAGCCACCAGCAAATTGATCAACTTGTCATTTGGGGAAATCCAGTGCTCTCTGACAAAAGAAAACATCTGGAACCCCGTGAATCTACAACGCCACCCTAACAACGAGTACACTCCCTCAAACTAGCATGGAAGCTCCCCCAATTATGTTTCCTCAGAAACTTGCTGGTGCTCAGGGAATTGGAAATGGAATGACCCTTACTTATAAACTATCCAACTGGTGGTTGCCTTTATTCGGATTCCCCTACCTGTCGCACTAGCAAGTGAATGTCCTCTAGATTCATGAATCATGGTTCATCCATACGTGGATGTTGCTTCCCCCTACAAACCCCAAACTTGCTGGTGCTCAGTAGGGAATTGTTCAACGAACCTGCAAATTCCGTTAAAGGAACTTATAGGGGATGGTTTGTAGGGGTCATTTACTCTAACGGTTTTTGTATTACACCCTGGGAATACACCCACTGGGTATTGAACCCATTTTAGGCACATTTCCGGATAAGACCGTGTGATTTAATGAACCATTCTGGGTCATTTCCCAAGGGTGCAATCCCAAGGGTGTAATACACAAACCCTGAAATTCAGCAGCAAGCAAAACCGGGTGCCGCACCCACCGAAGAACCACCAAAGAACCACAATGAACCTGCAAATTTCCTTAAAGGAACTCATAGGGGATAGTTTGTAGGGGTGATTCAAACCGGGTACCCGCACCCACCGAAAAACCACACGCAGCGTGCACCACGGCCCCCCGAGCGGCGAATCCGCAGGACGCCGGCGTGGATCTCGACGAGCTGAGCCGAGAGATCAATGAGCTCCGGGAGGACAAGCCCGAGGTCTTCCAAGAGCCCGGCGCTCGACATCTCCGTGGTCCTAGGGATGTCTTTGTTTGGGTGGACGCCCATAAGATGTCATTAAAAGGCCAAGTGATCGGAATGAATGATGGATGAGAATGGATGGTCTTTCCTTGACATTTTTTTCACCAACGGAGGGTGGGGACGGAAGGAAGACATGATGATGCCAAGGAGAGATGGGACAGTGGAAAAAAAACCACAATTCAACATCTAAGAAGATCTGTTGTACCCTTTAGAATGTTGGAACTTTATACCAGAATGTAACCAACATGAACAGCTTAAGGATGTGAATGAATGGTGAGTGATGGGCAGGGAGATGATAGACAGGGCAGAGATAGGTGGACGGGATTCTTCTTGGTCATCTAGCTATTTCTCCTTTTCTTTGTCTCTCTATCTTCTGGAGAATAGAGGAAAGAGATTAGGACTTCCTTGAATGCACAAAATTATCATTTGCTGATACAGGTAACTCCAGGAAATGCCATTCCTTTGTCTCTCCTTTCTCTCTCTCTCTCACTCTCTCTCTCTCCATCCCCAGCTGGTGAATGAGATTATGAAAGATATGAAAGTAAGGAAAGGGTCCAAGTTCAGGATTAGCACGCACAGCTGGGAATGGGCAGACCCCCTTCCATTTTGGACAAGCGCTATGACTCTCAGTATCCATCCCGCCACGCAGTCTTCTCTGTGAGGCGTGAAGGACTTGTTATTTTTATTGTTATTACTATTTTCGTTGTTGGAGGGGTTGTTGTTTCTGCCAGCCGGCTGACCCGCCGCCCAAGCCCTATTTTGTGATACTTGTTCGTTGTCCTTGTTCCCCTTCTCTTGATGCGGACTCTAAAAAGACCTGCGTTTTTGGTGCTTTGTCCTTCTGCGCCAGCATTCATTCCATGTTTTTGCGTGCAAAACTGCCGTTTTGTTTTTGCCATTCATGAGCCCGAAGCGCAGGTGTTGATCCGTTTTTCCGCGTAATTCGTGCAGGAATTTGCACATGTACTGTTATTTGTGGCATATTATACAATTTTTTTGGACCCACCGTCCCGCCAAGCCTGCCGCAGCGCGTCTTTGAGGCTGTTAGATTTATGCGTATACGAGCATGCACAAGTCAGCAAGCGACAAGCGTAGCTGATATACAAGTACCGTACCTCCATCCAGAGCAAGCCATCAATGCAACATGCTCGAAGAAAATCTGTCTGCATTGACACCGCGCCAACATGAGACAAGTCGGTCGTCAGAAGTCCGCCATGAGGTCATGTGCCTAGAATATTAACATATGTGCCAGCATATGCGCATATAACCATACAACGCGTGGACGCGCAAGTTAACATATATGCCAGCATGTACGCAAGTAACCATGCGGCTTGTGGACGGGCAGTTAACATATGTGCCAGCATGTACGACACAGGCAACCATGCAGCGCGTGAACGGGCACGTTAACATATGTGCCAGCAAGTGCGACACAGGCAGATGTACGACACAGGCAGCCATGTAGCCCGTAGAACGCAGGGAATGTTCAACATGTCAATTGCATATTCGCAAGGGCGGCGAGACAGCCGGCTACCTTGTTTCTCGTTGTCGTCCTCTTTTCCTTTGTTTGGGGGGATGGGGGACGTGGCGCTAAGCTCGGAATCGAGATCGGGCGGCCTTCGTCACCCGAAGGAGTCTTCCTTTCCAGCTGTTTGCAACACATGATAATTCTCGAAGGGGCGACGCCTTTCCTTACCGCAGCGTTTTGATAACTCGCTTGAAGAAGATGAGGGGCACCGAAGACCAATGTGGGGCTTAGACCCTGAACTTTGCCCACCACAGGAACAAAAGCAGGTTGTTTTTAAAGCGCGTTGCTGTGTTTCCCAGACCTCAGCGGTCAAACTCCGCTATTAAAAAGCAAGGTGCCCTTTGGCCCCCTGGCCACTGTGGTTCATGCTAACGAGAAGCCTTCGGAGCTTAGGCTGCGAGAGAAGATGAAGACCATGGTGGAGGACGGGCCGAGCCGTGCCGAAGCACCGCCCGATCGTTCGCCGCGCGTGTTTTCGGAACCAGGAGGAGGTGGCGAAGCACGAGGTGACGGGCGAGAAGGCTTCGGCCGAGGCGCTCTGGGTTCAGATTTCCAGGGGCCGTTTGGGGGTGGCTGTTCGGAATGGGTTTGCAAGGGCAGCCTCTCATGGCTGTCCCTGTGTCCCGGTTTCGCTGGGAAACAATGCAAGGAACGGATGAACATGGACCCGGTCCTGTTGAGTTTGCCTGGACCGGAGTTGCGACCCCGAGACCATAGCTATTTGCGTCATCTGGATGCAGCAGATAGCTCGTAGAGCTTAGTCGAATCTGAGTCGTTGTTCCCCTTCACCGAATACAATGGGTCCGGAAGAATCGATGCCTCCAAGTTCATCGGTTTTATTTTCCGGACGCCGCAGTTCGTTTGCGCTTCGCCCAGACCGAGGCTCCGGCGGACGTGTGAGATGAGTTTCCCGTCGTGGGAAGATTTTCTTTTCGGGCGCCGCCGCGGAGAGCGGTGAAGCGCCCCAAGAGGGCCACAGGCGCCAAGTGATTGTGGTGACCCTCTCTCGCGCTCAGGGCACCTGACAGGGGGGGCCCTCCAAGACGATTCTGATTTTCCAGATACCCTCCCACAGCCATGTTAGTGGGAGGAAGGGTCGCAAATATATAAGACAGCTGTGAAGGACAAGCAACCTGCAGTCACTGGGCAAGGCCTAAGCTTCCCAAAGGTGAGAGCGGAGTTCCAGTTCTTAGCAGCCATGTGAAGTGGCCGGCTGAGGCATTCCACTTAGACATCCGCACATTCTCCAGCTCATCTGAATGTTAGCCCCTCTTTTTGTTTTGCATCTACCGTCTCCCCTGGTGATCCTGGACATCGCCGCACCTTCGGGCAGGCTTCTTTCCGTCCCGCGAACCGCGGGAGCGTAGAGCGTGCCGTTTCACCACAGAAAGACTCGGCGAAGGCCAATGGTTTCAGGTGGAGACAAGTTGGCCTGCACTTGGCAGGGCTCCCAATATATCCCCTTGAAGGCTCCGAAAAGACTACATTTCATGTCGGACAGTTCTAATCCACCCGTGGTGAGATGAGTTGTAAATCTCGAATCCTGGCGGAATCAAGCTGGTTTGGAGCCCTTCACAGGTACCGTTCTTCCTTTCAGTTTCCGAGGAAGGCAAAGGTTGCAACCCTGGGCTTCAACCTTTTTCCCTTGCAACCCTGTGCGGTTGCATTTGGTTTCCCAGTGGTTTCCGCTTGGTGTTTCTCATGGGCTTTGATGTCAAACCGTTTTTCCCCCGTTTTTTCCCCAATATTTTCCTCATCTAAGTCTTAGAGCCCACCCAAGGGGTCCGTCTGTGCGTCAGGCGCTGAGGTGGCGACACTTCACTGCTTCGGTGCGGCTCTTCTGGCCCTTGACGGATGCCTTGGAAGGCTGGGATGGGGGTGAGGTGGCGGTTTTGGTCAGAGGGGTGGGGGGAGGGTTGGGGGGGGGGGGGGATGAGTTTTTTTCTTTTCTTGTGGGGTTTTTAGCCGGGGTTGGGGTAGGGGCGGGGGGATGCAACATGCTGGAAACACTGCGAAGAATCTGAGAGAAAGGGGGAGGGGGTGTCACCAAAAGCGAATCGGATTCCAAGGAGACACCTCCTATTTAATCACCCAGGGGTTTAGGAGAACGCAGAAGATCCTCAACCCATATCCAAGGTGGCCCACTTGTCATGAGAGCCATTCTAGCTCTTATGCTGATTCATTTGTTGGCCTCGACTTTGGGTTGTCGCATCCAAGCTGGACCTATCTTGAGTCTTGATCTCTGTGAAACATCTACTGAAGAGCCTATTCTTATTGGTCCCTTTGCTTCCTCCCTTCGGCCCGGGTTTTGGTGGGCTACAAGGTCAAACCTTTCCCTTCACTCCCCTCATTCGCGGGTTGCTGTATGGACCAGCAATCCAACCAACTCGGGTCAGTATGTTGTTTGTTTCTGGGGGTTAAATGAATGCATTCCAAGATTTTGGCTGCAATGGTCGTGATGTGGCCTCTTTCTAGGTGGCCATTTGACCCAACTGTGCATCGACATTTGTTTGCGTTGATCTCACAAAAACACGGGTGAGGGTAAAAGGATGGAATGTCCTTACCGCATTCGTGGCCGCTGCCAATCAAACGATCCGTTTGTCCTTCCACCACCAAACGCCAGATATTTCTGATCGTTCTGCCCTAGTGTTTGCCCCCTCTGGTCGGGTCTTGTTGAAGTGCCTCGTTTCCGAGGTGTGCTGATCAAGCTTGCGCAGTAGGAGAAATGGGCAGAAGTTCAAACATGAACGTGTGGCTGAGATTTGCTCGAGACTTCTCAGTTCAGCCGTTTAGTTTATTTAAGGGCTGCCGCCCAGTGCCGCCGACCCCTCCGCTGGGGGCCAGCCCAGGTTTTTTTTTGTTCTGGCAGCGGCTTTTGGCTGGTTCAGGCTTGCTGGCTTGCTGGCTTGCTCGCTCGCTTGATTGTTTGCTTGTTTTCAGCGCTTTTCCAGGCCGCGCTCGTTTGCCCACACAGCGAGCACCAACCAAAGGAGCGCTATATGGAAAGTAGACAGCAATCGGTCCCCAGGGCGCAACCAGCAAGAACAGCTTCGCGTCCAGCGCGCTTGGAGGCCGCACTCGCTTCGCTGCAGCGAGCACGAACCAAAGGAGTGCGCCGGCAGCCTGCTCCGCCGCGGCCGAGTGCCTAACGTCGCATTAGAGTCCAACATGCAGCAAAGCTATCGGTGCAGAGGGAGCGGCCAGCCACAAAAGCTTCGCTTCCCGCGCTTTTCCAGGCCGCACTCGTTTGTCCACAGCGAGCGCCAACGAAAGGAGTGCGCCGGCAGCAGAAAGGAAAAGGAAAGCAACCAAAGGAGTGCGCAGAAAAGGAGAAAAAGGAAGAAAAAACGCCGTACGGGCGGGCCGCGAGAGAGCTTCAGCGCTGAAAACTGTGCCCTGCAGGTGTTCGAGCGCTGTTTTAGGCCGCACTCGTTTGCCCCCCACAGCGAGCACCAACCAAAGGAGTGCGAAGACAGGCCGAACGGGCTGGCCGTGACAGAGCTTCAGCGCTGAAATCTGCGGCCAGCAGGGGTTTGAGCACTCTCGGCCTTCTCAGCTCAGGGGTAGTTGGTGTAGCGGCATCACACCCAGCATGTGAGAGGGCGGGCTCAATCCCCGGCCTGTCCATGCCCATGCGCGCCTGCGTCTGGGACAGTCTGCCGATCCCTGCTCTTCTTTCCTTTGGGTTTGCTGTGCGCCTTGCCAAGGGCGGCTGTTTCCACCGCGGCCGGGTGCCGAACGTCACTGTAGAATCCTATACAGAAGGTAGAAAGCTATCGGTAGTCCAAAGCTTACCAAAGGAGTGCGCCGGCAGCCTGCTCCGCCGCGGCCGGGTGCCTAACGTCGCGGCTGAGTCCAATATGCAGCAAGGCTATGGGTCCAGAGGGAGCGGCCAGCCAGAAAAGCTTCGCTTCCCGCGCTTTTCCAGGCCGCACTCGTTTGTCCACAGCGAGCGCCAACCAAAGGAGTGCGCCGGCAGCAGAAAGGAAAAGGAAAGTAAGAAAAGGAGTGCGCCGGCAGCAGAAAAGCAGAAAGGACGAAAAAAGGCCGGACGGGCGGGCCGTGACAGAGCTTCAGCGCTGAAAAGCGGGTCCTGCAGGAGCTTGAGCGCTTTTTCAGGCCGCACTCGTTTGTCCACAGCGAGCACCAACCAAAAGGAGTGCGCCGACAGCAGAAAGGAAGAATAGAGGCCGAACGGGCTGGCCGTGACAGAGCTTCAGCGCGGAAAGCGGTGCCCAGCAGGTAGTTGAGCACTCTCGGCCTCATCAGCTCAGGAGCAGTGGGTGTAGTCGCATCACACCCGCTCAGCATGCGAGAGAGGCCGGGTTCAATCCCCAGCCTGTCCATGCCCATGTGCGCACTGCGTTGGTCTTTCTCGCTTAGGGTTTGCTGTGCGTCTCGCCAAAAGCGGCTCCTGCAGGGCACAGTTTTCACCGCTGAAGCTCTGTCACGGCCCGCTCGTCCGGCCTTTTTGCTTCCTTTCTGCTGCCGGCGCACTCCTTTGGTTGGTTCTCGCTGTGGGCAAAGGAGTGCGGGCCCGCCCGTTCGGCCTCTAGTCTTCCTTTCTGCTGCCGGCGCACTCCTTTGGTTTCTTTCCTTTTCCTCTCTGCTGCCAGCGCAAGCGCGGGAAGCGAAGCTTTTGTGGCTGGCCGCTCCCTCTGGACCTTCAGCGCTGAAAGCTATGCGCAGCAGGTGTTTGAGCACTCTCGGCCTGCTCAGCTCAGGGGCAGTTGGTGTAGTGGTATCACACCCGCTCAGCATGCGAGAGGGGCTGGGTTCAATCCCCGGCCTGTCCATGCCCATGTGCGCCTGCGTCTGTCACAGTTTGCCTCTCCCTGGTCTTTCATCCCTTTGGGTTTGCTGTGCGTCTTGCCAAGACCGGCTGGTACGCCGCGGCCGGGTGCCAAACGTCACTTTTGAATCCTATATAGAAAGTAGAAAGCTATCGGTCCCCAGGGCGCGACCAGCAAGAACAGCTTCGCGTCCAGCGCGCTTGGAGGCCGCACTCGCTTCGCCGCAGCGAGCACGAACCAAAGGAGTGCGCCGGCAGCCTGCTCCGCCGCTAGAAAGCTATCGGTCCCCAGGGCGCGACCAGCAAGAACAGCTTCGCGTCCAGCGCGCTTGGAGGCCGCACTCGCTTCGCCGCAGCGAGCGCGAACCAAAGGAGTGCGCCGGCAGCCTGCTCCGCCGCGGCCGGGTGCCTAACGTCGCGTTTGAGTGGCCTCTTTTCGCTGTGGGCAAACGAGCGCGGCCTGGAAAAGCGCTCAAGCACCTGCAGGGCACAGTTTTCAGCGCTGAAGCTCTGTCACGGCCCGCTCGTCCGGCCTTTTTGCTTCCTTTCTGCTGCCGGCGCACTCCTTTGGTTGGTTCTCGCTGTGGGCAAAGGAGTGCGTCTAGTCTTCCTTTCTGCTGCCGGCGCACTCCTTTGGTTTCTTTCCTTTTCCTCTCTGCTGCCGGCGCAAGCGCGGGAAGCGAAGCTTTTGTGGCTGGCCGCTCCCTCTGGACCTTCAGCGCTGAAAGCTATGCGCAGCAGGTATTTGAGCACTCTCGGCCTGCTCAGCTCAGGGGCAGTTGGTGTAGTGGTATCACACCCGCTCAGCATGCGAGAGGGGCTGGGTTCAATCCCCGGCCTGTCCATGCCCATGTGCGCCTGCGTCTGTCACAGTTTGCCTCTCCCTGGTCTTTCATCCCTTTGGGTTTGCTGTGCGTCTTGCCAAGACCGGCTGGTACGCCGCGGCCGGGTGCCAAACGTCACTTTTGAATCCTATATAGAAAGTAGAAAGCTATCGGTCCCCCAGGCCGCACTCGTTTGTCCACAGCGAGCGCCAACCAAAGGAGTGCGCCGGCAGCAGAAAGGAAAAGGAAAGAAAAGAAACGAAGAAGAACAAGAAAAAAGGGAA